GCCTCCCTTGCAGCCCAGCGAGGCCCCGACAGCCCCACAGCCAAGATGCGCCCGGGCCCCGTGGTCTTCCGCTGCGGACCGGGTGGCCGAGCACCTCCCGAGGCCGGGACTGCGCCTTGCCAGGTTCCTCAGGGACTCTTGACAGGGCAGGCTGCAGGGGAACGCCGTCCCAAGCGTCTCGTTCTAACGGCCCAACTGCGGGGTTTTCCCCTCTGCCTCCGTTTTCTCTCAGCAGTAGCTTCAATTTGCAGCATAAAAAGTTTGAAGGTATGCTTTCTTGCCACTGAGGAATCATTTAGGATTGCATCTTTAAACCTTCAGTGCTAAATGTAGAAGTCTGAATTCTCTTTTAATTTGCCTTTGGAGAGCAATTTTTTTGAGTCTGTGCTCCTGTATCCTAACCTGTAAAACATATAAAAAAACTTTAGTTCTGGGTGAAGTACTCATGAAATGTATTTTTAGAAGTGCTGCGGACAGAAGTGCACCGAATGCCTGTGTTTGCCATCAGAGCTCTGGTTTTGTTTGTCTCATCCTCTGTTGTGGTAGAGATACCACCTCCCTCTGGTACCCCTCCCTAGCGATGGACAGGCGGTACTGTCAAGGTGAAACAGATTTCTCTTCTGACACTGTAAGAGGGCTGATTGTCCCTCCAGAGCAGATCAGTGTTGGATCATACACCGTGCATAATCAGGCCTCGTGTTTGCCTGCTTTGGCCATATCTTCTTTGCCCTCTCGTTCTTCAGCACTTCACCTGTGCTGTTCTGCTTCAGTGTATTCAGCTTTTCAGTGTGGAGTGGTGTGAAACTCAATTCTGAGGCTTTATAAAGTATGGGCCATATTGCAAGGATTGTGTGCACTTGCTGTGAGTTGAACTGTACAGAGCATAATCTTGCATTTTTCAGAGCAAATATGTGTCCACGTATATGGGCCTTCCGGTGGAAGAGAACACTTGTACTGTAATTAAATATATATTTGATAAGATATTTTTGTCAATTCTTCACAATAAGTGTGGAGAAAACATATACAGGAAAAATTGTGGTTATGAAAGAAATAAGGAGTACCAGTTTCTTTTCAAAATAGAATGGAGATTGTCACTTTCACTTACGTGACCAAAGATGTTACTGTAGCAAAAGGTAAAAGGTCACAGGTAATGAGCCCATGTGGTGTTTGATTTAAACTTTCCATTTAATAAGTGAATATTCAGCAGTAACTGTGAATTCTGTACTCACAATAGACTGTTAATATCAACATGCAGCTAACTTCTGCGAGAAGTCAGTAGTCCTCTAAAATAGCAAACTGCAGAACCCTTCCTTCCGTGTGTGATGGCCAAATCAGAGCATCTGCTCTTCCATTTCAAAATTTGTGTGTGTCAGGAATTCCCTACAATTTCCGGAACATAGGAGGCTAGCAAATTAAAAAAAAAAAATCTAATCGTATGAGTGAAATTTTTAGATTTTATTACCAACTTTCTTGTTACTCTACTATCTATTTTTGTAGCCAGAAATGGGCTGTAGTACTTGTTGTCATTAATGGTGGAAGCCAAGCAGCAAAGGAGCTTGTTATTGTTGATGAAGCATTGTGGAAAACATTTAGTTTCCTCCTTCATTAAAAGCAAACCAGAAAAAAAGTGCTTTTTGTTCCTCCCCTCAAATAATATATGTGTATCTAAGGATTTGTGAAATACAAATTTGTTAAATATTTTGAAAAAATGTAGGGCACCGTTTGCCCAATTTTAAATCAGAGGAGGTGGTTTTGTTCTTTAGCTTGCTTCTGTGAGGCACTTGGAGTCTTTTAAGTCCTCTGCTTCTGTTTTTTTCCAATACCAGCATAATGTGAGGCTGGAATAATCATCCACATAGGGTCGCTTTTTGTCAGAATTGGGCTGTTGAGACAGTCTGTAAGTTGGCACCTGTGCATGCACTTCAGAGAAAAGGGTAGCACAGAGTCAATGTTTTGCAACGAAGTGTAGCAGGACAAAAAAAAAATTAGTGCATTTCTGAGCTGCATTTTACAGGACAGGGTCTTCAGTATGGTCATTTCGTGAGTGTTTGCATATTTTTGAGTGCAAGTGGTGATGTACACACACAACTTGAAATATTTTCTATGGGAGTTGGTATCCCTCAATGTTTGTACTTTTTTTTCGTTCTGGTTTTATATCGGTGTGAATCTGCTTATTTGAAAGACACAGATGCTTACCATTATAGCTAATAACATGTAATTTTGAAAAAATTTATTATTTCCTTATCATGGAATTGTGACATGACTTAATGGGGCCTGGTCTTGCACTTCTTGAATTAGGTTAAAACTTTTAATGACTTAATGTGAGTAATATGAAGCCTTTAGCAGATTTTCTGGAGTCTGGTACCTGGTGAAGCCTCCTGTGTTGTAATATACTCCTGCTGGATAGCTGCAGCTTGCTCTGTTGTAATGGCAGTGGGTAAGCGCCATGGACCACACCGTCGTATTGCCCAATATGTGGAGTTCTTGGCCATGCAGTTATTGCCATTCCAAACCCTAAGCCAAGCAGGAAGTTAAAGTTTGGTGTTGAGCGGTAAAACAGAGGGATAATCTGTTCCTGTTGTACAGCTGACCCAGACTGTAATGGACCAGTGCAATTGTTATGCTCTACTGGAATATTTTAGTTCTATGTCATTTTTAGAAACAAAGGTGATTTACTAGGCAAAATGGTTTGCATTTAATAGTGTTAGAAATTAGGGCACCTATTCCAATGAGCGTTGAGTTTTATGGAAATAGCTGTTAAAAAAAGAAAAAGAAAAAAAGGAGAGAGGAAAAAAAAAGAACTGCTAATATACGTTAGTCCAAGAGGGCCCGTGACAATAGTTTACACTGTGGTGTAATGCTGCATAGAGTTCTCGCAGATATTTGCAACTATGCGTAAACTGCACTATTCTGTAGATGTAGTGAAGTCAGAGGTCATTATATAATTTTGCTAATGCAAAGCTGGTGAAAAGCTTAGTAGAGCAGCTAATGTATGCTGTCCTCACAAATACACCTAAGAGTATAAGCCATGTCTCAGTTCCCTGCACAATGCCTGACATTAAATTGTTGTTGAACAGTGGAGCTGGGCTACTTTCAGAGAAAACGGTGTGTCAAAGTTAAGTGTGAAATACAAAGTTTTCACTGAAATGTAGTAGGCAGAGGAGACTATAGCATAGTAGTTGGTGACATCAGTCATTTATTTGTATCTTACAAATAAGATCCTACAATCTTAACAAAGTCTGCCTGAAAAATATGCTTGAATGAAAATGGTTCTTCAGAGGTATTCTGTGCTGGCTAAATTAAAATTTAATTTTGCTCTAGAATGGAATATAGCGAAAACTGACATACTGCTGATCTCGCACCCAAAAACTGTGGGCGTGCAATATCCACACAATACTAGTCTGGTTATAGCGTGGCTCTGATCTTCAGACTACGCAGGTTGCTTACTTCCAGATGTGTTTCAAGAATAGTTTAATGACTGCAGTTTTTATACAAGTCTTAACAGCCAGAGAACTGAATTTGATTTGCAATTTAGTGATTAGACTAAACTTTCTTTTTCATGTTTTTGATCTTGGTAGGTTGGCAGCCTCGGTGGTTTGTTTTAGACAATGGGATATTGTCATACTACGATTCACAGGATGATGTTTGCAAAGGCAGCAAAGGAAGTATAAAGATGGCTGTGTGTGAAATAAAAGGTAAGAATTAATAGATTTCTACTTGAGGAAATTTTAGCTGCCAGGGAAATAGAAAGATCGCCCAACATACACTTTGCATCATGAGTTTTTCCTCTTCTGTTTTTGTTGATCGGTACTCCAATGTGACTGCTTCATAGTTCACAAATAATAACAAATGTGAATTGTGAAGTGGTGACAAAGAAAAAATGTTTTTCACAGTTAGAGCTCTGTTTTGAGATTTAGAACCCACTACATATTCCTTCTTGCTGTAAACAGTTGTGTGCATGTGGCTTATTCTTGAAGTCACCTCGGCTAGTTATTTAGTTCTGCTGCTTTTCCCACTTACAACCAGGGATAAGAGACTGAATCGTGAATGCTAGTTTTTCAGAAGAGCAATAGCAGTGACCCAGAAGGAGAGATTCTTATAAACTGGCAGTGTTTAGTCTTTTGTTTTCCTGAGTTATTTTTACTTTTGTCTCTGCTAGCAGCTGCCCACATGTATAGGTGATGGATATATTAGAGTTAGTAACTGAACTGTTACTGTCTGACTGTGAGTTTAGCTTTTAGTGTATTTTAAGCTGTAGGTCAACATCCTTGGCTGATAGCAAAGTGTTATGGTTTGGCTTCGGCCGGCAACAAAAGCGCCACACGGTCGCCCCTCCCCCCGCCGGGGTGCAGAGGAGAATGGAACGAAACAGGCAGAAACTGGTGGGTCGGGATAAGGGCAGTTTAACAGAACAGCAAACAAAGGGAACAGGAACAACAATGATACAGATAAGGGGAATACATAACACAAACCGCACAACCCAGAGAGCCGATTCTCCCGGACCGAACCGGCGCTGCGCGCTCCCGAGCAGCGAGTGAATTCCCGCCGCCCAGCTCCCCCCCACCGGAACCCAGCATGATGGCACGTGGTATGGAATACCCGGCTCTGTTTGGCCAGGTGGGGTCAGCCCGCCTGGCTGTGCCCCATCCTGGATTCTGGTGAAAATTAACCCTGTCCTGGCCAAACCCAGGACACAAGGCATTGTCTAACTCTCCATTGCTTGCAACTCTTGACCTCTTTCCATATACCCACAGATGACTGGGCTTGTGGTGTAGGTACTTCTGTATTAAAAAGTGGGACTTCCTTATTTTACATGGGCTACCAAGTACTTTTCATGTGGTAACTCTTTTTTGTTACTGTTTCTTTGGTGTAGATGAAATCAGTGATGTAAAGTGGAAGATCCCATTTTTTGGCCATTCCAGTTGTTCATTTTGCTTGTCATCTTGTTCTTTTGGTGAAGGAAAGATAATAGTTGAAATCTGAATTTGATGCAGTCTCCTGCATCCGTGGCTAGTGGATCTGGAGGAACTGTGGTTGGTATCATGAAATCAGCAGAATATTCAGTTAAAGATGTAGTATTGAATGTAAGAAACTCTAAACAAATTGCGCTTCGGTTCTGGGTTCTAGGACTCTGCAACCTGAAACCAGATTTCATCTAGAAGGGAGATTATTTCAGTTTTTAGCCTAGTACTCCTTAAATACTCACCCTTGCAACAAAACTCTTCAGTTTCCCAGGTTTGGAATGCAACAGTTATTAGATTGATACGCAGTGTATTGCAGAAAGGGAGCCCCATTGTACCTGAGTCTGGCCACTGTTTGGTGTCTCGTGTTCCTACGGGTAGGCTTGAAGGCATGCTGGGAGCAGCTTTGGGCTTTTTATTATTTAGCATTATTTATATCTATAACATTATTATTATTATTATATATTATTTAATAAATAATTGTTACTGAGTTGAGGGGGTTTGTTGTTTTTGTTTGTTTGTTTGTTTTCTCTGCTGTCATAAGTTCATGCAACAGACAACACAAGAATGGAGCTGATCATCCCTGGGGAACAGCATTTCTACATGAAAGCAGTTAATGCAGCCGAAAGGCAAAGGTGGCTGGTGGCACTGGGGAGTGCAAAAGCCTGTTTAGCAGATACCAGAACAAAAAAAGAAAAAGGTATGTGTGTTGCCTTGAGCATATGCAATCTTACCACTTTTTCAAACGCTTGTTTTCAGATGATGATAGTGCAAATATTGTGGTAGAAAGTCAGTTTTATTGTCTTTAAATATAAATTGTAGTTATTTCTAGTCATCTACAAGGTAAATTCCCACTTGACATTTGAATCAGAGGTTACCTCCATTGATCTATTCTATTTTAAGAAGCTGAAATACCAGCAACTTATTGTCATTTCAAGAACAAACATACTGTTTGTCGCTGTTGTGAAGCTATTTCATTTCTGCTGTTTTGATTCTTTATAGTTACTGTTGTTTTTTCCAGAATTTTTCTTGGATTGCTTAATGTAAACATCTCCAGCCACTCTGAGCATAAATTTCATCCACTAATTTTTTTCTACGTTACATTGCAGCTAAGAAAGATTTGAACTTTATCTTTCCTAGTAATGTGCCTCTTTTTTAATGGTCATTAAATTTGTATCAGTTATCCAAAAGTACAAACTATTGTCTACTGGAAGTAGAGTTCTTGACTCAGCAGATTTCAATTTTCCTGAAAACTGAATGAAAGCTTAAGCAAATTTTTAAATTTAAAAGAAAAGTGCTTAAAAATTAAAATGTGTACATACATTGTATGCATTAAATTGTTATTTCCTTTATTTTTTATAGAAATAAGTGAGACCAATGAATCTCTTAAAACCAAAATGTCTGAACTTCGTCTCTACTGTGATCTTTTAATGCAGCAAGTTCATACAATACAAGAATTTGTTCACCATGATGAGACACACTCTCCTCCCAGCATTGAGGTACGGAATTTCTAGAATGCCCTTGGAGAACGTGATTGCATAATACACCTCAAGTTTTTGTTGACATCTTTTGCCTCTTTCATCTCCCTAATGTTGGGAGATTTAACCTAATATCAATTTTTGAGTTCTTGTGTGTATATGATGCTAACAGTGATTATATATGCATAAAGTACCTGGATGATTTAACTGAAATTGTAACATGCATTAGGAAGCAATTGTGTTATTGAGTTATTTGGTTAAAAGGGTGGAAGAGCTGCCATATGATTTATGCAATAATTTGTCTTGTTTTGGATCTCTGTTACAGGCAGAGTAGTTGAAACAATCTTGTTTGTCCATTATTTCTTTGTGTAGGAGAGTATTCCATTTTGTTGTCAGTGAGAGCTAGTGTTACAGGTACTGGAAACTCGGAGTGCAGAAAAGTCTCTGAATATGCACAAATGAAATTATTCTACTATTTCTGCTTTTGAATGAAAGTTAGTACTGGAAATTATGAATGGCTTCATTCTTTATGTTCTTGAGCAGGGTGTGGACAATATTGTTGTCCACTTAGGGCAAAGCAAGGGGCTGACACTTCATCTGAACACAAGGAATTGTTGTCAGCTCACAGCAAGGTGAAACTGGCCTGCAGGCTCCTTGCAGTGGAGCAATAAAGCTGTTCCCACATTCTGCTGCAGTTCATTTGCTTTGCTGAATGACCTTGTGATACCGGTTAGTCACTCTGAGACAAGCTTTGTGGTAAAAATGTTACAGCGTTGTTGGCTGATACCCTAACAAAAATTCAGATGTCGGAAAGAAATGACAATGCTGTCACATTTGTTTGCTTAAATTAACCTCATTGGAAGGTGTACATTTGATTAAATAAAATGGGAAATGGAAGTTCTTAGTGCTAATGAGGGAAATCAATGTGTGGGAGAGTGGGGGTGGGGAGAGTTGTATTTGCATCTTTTAATATTTGTTCGTGCTTACGCTTGTGCTTTCATTTATTTTCAGAACATGAATGAAGCCTCTTCCTTGCTGAGTGCCACATGTAAT